CACCTATTAAACAAATATATCATTTGAAAAAACCCTTGAGCAGGGAAAACCTGAGGAACTATTTGTTATAAAAAATAAAAAATAAAAAAAACATTTGGGGCAAGATCGCTGGCATTGTGAAGTATTTGAGTAAAAAGAAAAAGAAAAAAAAATATGAAGCTTTTGTTAAATGTGATTCCTGAACACAATTAATTGTTTCAGTCGGATGTTGGCACCGCGCAATCCACATATAACTCGATGGGTTTGATCATGTGAGATTTTGTGATGTTGTTGTTGTGTGATGTTGTTGTGTTGTGATGTAAATAATAGGGTAACTGGAACACGTTCCAGATGTCTATTATATTGTTTTAATGAATTGTTGTATATTGTAATTACCAGAATCCGTATAGAGCACTGATCACGCATTCTCCCAATCCAATAAGTTGTTATGTTGTTTTGGTGTATAGAGGTAGTACAGAATATAATTGGTGTTTTGTGTGTTGTAGATTGTTTGATGGAGGTAAGCTAGTTGTGATTTTTGTGTTGAAATTTGTGAGTGAGAACTGATAACTAGCTAGAAAATTATGTGAAATCTTATACTAGTTACTATCAGCAAAAAACAAAAAAACTCTAAAAAAATAAAATGCTACTTCTTGAGAGTGTGATTGTTTTTGAGTTAGAAATGAAAGATGTGTTTGTTTTGTAGCAGTTGTGTATAGAGATGACCTTTATATAGAAAATTTTCTTTTTATTCATTTTCTCTGTTCCAAGTTATTGCCTAGTGCCATTACCAGTCACTAGACCTCTTAGTATGGGCTTCATTGCTAGAAATCCCAGAGATTAATCTTATCCTTGAAACCCCCACTGCTCTAAATCAGTTCTCCAGTCTATGTCTCCTTCCAAAAAAACATATTTCACTAGATAAAGTTCCTTGGAAGAAAGAAGCTTCCTAAAAAAGCAATTTTCTATGGATGGAGGTGTTGTGAAAAAGAGTTTTTTAATTACTATGTAATTTTCTTTCTCATATTGTATCTTTGTTAATATTTAATAGGAAAATATAAAAGTATTTGATTTTTATTTTTTTGTTCTAGGTTAAAATTTTTGATTATCTATTTTAGAAAAGGTTACCAGAGATTATATCATATCAAAACCTTATCTTTTTTAGAGATTTAAGTACCACGTGAATGAATCAGAAAACATCAAATACGTGGGATTTTTCACTTTCATACTTTAATACAAAATGACTACCGACATCTCTACTTATCAATTTGTAAGCTTTTGACATCAACTAGAACTTTCTCACACCAATAACGAATTCAATTATAAAATGCATTGCCTATTAGAATCATACCATGATTCGGGTAAAGGACCCACAAGTCTCGATAAAGTTCTATGAAGAAGTTTTAGGAATGAAGTATTTATCGTTCCTACTACTTTGGATCTGTTGAAATGTGAAATTAATAATCATATTCTACTTCATGTGCATAAAGGTTAATCAGTAAATCTGATTTTCCTACGGCAAAGTTTACGCTCTACTTTCTTGCATATGTACGTGAATCCTTGTCTGAATCTGAAACAGAAAGAAAAGTTTATACTTTCGGAAGGGAAGGTGTATTAGAGTTGACTCAGTGAGTAAAATATTTTTCGGCAACACAGCAATATGCATGGCCAGGACAGCTGATCCCATGATCGTTTATAATAATAGCAATTGGGGAACTGAATCAGATCCTGAATTCAGTTATAATGTCAATCCGGAGCGACGTGGATTCGGTCATCTTGCAATCTGTGTGGATAACATTGAGGCAGCTTGTAAACGGTGAGAGTACACGTCGAATTCCAAAATAAGTCCGGAATTTAACATTTGACACTTTTTGCGACGTGTCAGATTTGAGGAATTAGGCGTCAAATTTGTTAAGAGGTTGCAGGATGGTATGTCTACTTTTTGACAAACATGTGATGTATGACCTTTTGAGTTTCATTGATGAAAATATCCCTCAAAGGCATGATGAAGAATATCGCCTTTATTGCGGATCCCGATGGATATCAAGTTGAGATCATTCCAAAAGGGATAGATGTGACAACGGTTTCGAGTTGTTAGGTAAAAGTAATAACTTGTTGATTTTTTATCAAATAACTGAATTTCGTGACTTCTCGTAATATGTGAGATTTTATGCGATAGGAATATTTGCTAAATTCATATTGTATCACAGAATAAAAAACTCTTTATTATAAAATTTAAATCTTGAATTATTCTTAATTTATAAAATTATTTAAAACTTTCATAATTTTTAACTCAGGAAGACTATTATTAAATTTAAATTTCATTATATAATTTTTACTTGTCTCCAAGTAAAACATTATGGATTTAAATTGAGTAAAATAAAATCATTCTATATCATCACATTTTTTGCCAAATAATTAAAAATAATTAAGATTTAGAATTTATAATAAATTATCATAAAAGAATTTTTTTTATAATACCTTATCTTATGATCTGTAAACATTATTAAAACAAAATTTACGTGTTCAATACATTATTTACTTGTGTAGAAGTAGCGAGTGAAATAATTCGTTTAACGAAGGTATTATGGAGAGTTTTCACAGGGAGACGAATTTCTCAAACATTCTATTCATTTAATAATGAAATGGAAACCCTAAATGGAATGTTATATATGAATTTTGTTGGTATATTCCATTTGTTGAGTTTTTTGGGGGAATAAGGAAAAAAAAAACCCCCCAGTAATGCTAATAGTCATCGTCTTCCAACTAAGGACAGTAATCTAACACCATATCTTGTAACCATCATAACTTCGCTGGCTTCTCGCAGTGCTTCTCCAGTGAGGGAGCAATACGAAGATACACCAAGTTTTTTCAATGTTTCCTTTTTAATCGCATATTGCGTAAGATACTCCAAGTGAGCGTCAACAAGATTTATGTGATTTGTAAGATAGAGTTCTTTGATGGGAGCTCTGCATTTTTCTAAAAATGCTTGCAGAGCTTCAGGTGTGAACTCCCAAGGGATTTCCAAGCTCCACAGGGTTGTTGGCAAAAATCTACTCATCTCGATCAGCCACGGACTAGTGTTCCATGGAGGGGGAACACGTAGGGTGTCATTGATCTGTAGTTTCTCGAGTCGAGGGCAGCACACTAGGAATCCAAGGAAATCAGGAAAATTTGTCGATTTCCCACCCCACACACAAACATTGAGATCGATGAGGTTTGAACAATACTTCTTGATGGTGGACATGAGGATTGAAGTCGCCCCACCGAGCGAAAGTCGACGTAGATTTCCGTTAGTGCTTTCGATTAAAGACTTTGCTGCTTCAACCGTCACGGTGATCCTTGTGGTGTCTTCAAAATAAAGATTTTTTAGCCTTCGGGCCGATAGAGCAATATTTTGCCTCAAGGAACAATAAGCCAAGCCAAGAGTTTCCAGATTATCTAGTATTTTTGACAAATCCATTGGATCAATATGATCAATATTGACGGAAGTGCAATACAAACTTGTTAGGTATCTTGATCGATTTGCCAATGTCGAAAAGATTATCCTTATGGCTGATTGTTCTTCTACTCGCAATTTAAATTTTTTCAGTCGATTCTGCGCCTTGATCAGTTGGACAACTCCCTTGAGCGCATTTCCTTCAATGGCTTGATCTAATTCTAATTCATGCAAATTGTTGCATACGTGTGATAGTTGATTACAAATTTCTCCAGTGTTGTTGGAATCTTTGAGGACAAAACAACGAAGGTGCGAGAAGCACTTTGTGTATACCCCGGAGAAATTGATGATTGCTGAGGTGTAAATATCAAGATCGAGCGCAAGTCGATTCAAGGTCGAACAGCGACCTAGAAGGATTTTTCCGAGCAATAAGGTAACGCGATCGATCTGTTTTTTGCGACATGACTTAAACCTTGATATTTCCAAAAAAGGTCCACGAAATGGTTCGGCTGGAAATCGCTTAAGGTAAATGCTATAAAGCCACTGTAATATCGAATAACTTAATTTTGTATCATGAAGTTCTCTGAGGAAAGAAGCATAATCAAAGGTTGTTTGCGAGGGACTAATCGGTGGTTCAATTCCAGCTTCCCTCGATAAAACGTCACATTCGTCCCTATTAAAACATGAAATGTAGGTGTCTATAAGTTCGGGCGAAGGTTCTTGTGGTTTCGCTAATTCAAAAGGACGCGTCCATAGCCAGGAGACCATATTCTGACACCAAAATCGATTGACCAAGAGACACGCGTGCATTGAGGAACGGTCATATTGCAAATGCCTAAAAATGCTACCTCCAAGTAACTCTGCTGGTAAAACCACGGGAGACATTATTTTCCGAGGCACACTGTATGTCTCAACTTTTTAGATATTTGACGTTTAATTGTGGTTTGGCACATTGCACACATGTTATTAATTTATTTTCGTGTAACGGTCTCGTACATCAACCAATTGTCATTCAAAAAAAAAAACCATCCATAATGCAAAAGCATATCTTGTATATATTTGGTTGTTTATTGTCCGTTTAGGCAATGAATTTTAATGAATCGCCACGTCTTTTCCTTCGTATATTGTGAGTCGTGGAAATTACGGCAGACTTTTCACATTGCATGTTTTCCGCACAAATGGGGTCGCATAACTTTCTCCGTAGTTCTACAAGTTAAGAAATTGAGCCGTGGTAAAAGTGTAAAGATACCGTCGGAAGTAAATGGACCTATGTTAATTCTTTTTTTTTAGAATTCGCGCTTTAGCATATGCACAATGCTACCGAGAATGAAAGAACAAGTGCAGTCGACGAAGGTTCTTGAAAATTATCCCACCACACTCAAACCAGTCGAAGTTCCAGCGCCCTACCACGTGGAAAACGGTAAAATGGTATTGAAGCCTGCCACTAGTAAATTATGGGGAATTGCCAGTTGGTGTTGCTTAGTATCCGTTTCCTTGTTTTGTAAAATTTTCTTAAAACTTTGCACAAGCTCAACAACTGTGTATAATGAAGAATCATTCTTGGAGCTTTTGATGGATCCCAAAAGGACGAGACCTATATTGACGGGTAAGAATTATTGATTGAATTACAGTTTCAATCATTAATCGAGGTCTAACTTGTTCCCTTGTTTCATCTTAACAGTTTCCAATCATACGTCCACGTAGGTATAAACCACGGAGTACTGCTCGTCCGTCAATCTCATATATCTAACCATACCCTGGGTTATTTTAGGATTGACGATCCATTAATCTGGGGCAGTCTTCCGTTAAGGGTTTTTTCAAGTCGCGATAG